AATATTTGCAAAATATTGCCCAGGAATGTCTCATAATGTGCCAATAGATTTTCAAGAATATTCTTCTGTCAGGATTGTGCAGCTTCCATGTTGAAGCAGGGTAGCCAGACTACTGTTATGTATCTGCACGTTTACGGTTTCTATTTTTATTAACTCTCCAGGAAAGAGAACATGAAAAGCAAACAAGAGAAGAGGAAAGGGTAGGACAATCATATACAACTGTATCTTACATGTACATGTATTAGGGAGGGAGAATATCGGCCCTAGGTCTTGAAAGTACGGATTGAGCACAGTGAGGTCCATACAGAAAAGACAGAGGGCCGACACTCCCCCATTCCAGAGAAAGCTTGGCTGATTTTAGTTATTGGCTGTCTTAGTTGTCTTTATCTCAATCTTTATTGTTATAATAAGCCCCATTGATTTCGAGCATGCTTTGTCAGAGTATAGTGTTTGCTTCAATATTCAATGATTAAGGGGGGACCTTCTTAACTACCACTCTATTCCGTTCCGTCCATCCATTAAGAAATAAATAATTATTGTCTTGGATGTGCCCAGATAGTGTTTTTCTTGGATAAAAATCATCAAGTTCACCCTGTCAGCAAGTTTCAGACATGAAAGCGATTTTTTATGCTTGAATGGATGCGAATCAGGCGAATGCGAGTTGAAATTCGATCATCACAAGTTCAACTTTACCGATCGCATGGTCAACAAAACGGCTATCACATGATTAGTTGCCTCAAGTTCAAATTTCAAATGGCCGTAGACGACAAAAAAATTTGTGGGTGTCGCGGTCTACTGGGAAGAGTAGTGTTACATGTGTTGCAATCGGGTGTGGGTGCAGGAACTGCTGGTTAATGCAACTTTGTCCTGCTGAGATTCTTTGTTCTGGTTCATATTTTTAGGAAACCCTTCAAAGAGAAAAAGAAGCAGATTCTTTCAAAGAATGGGAAGAACAAGAGGATCAGGTAACCTCTTGATATTTAATTAATACAGATGATTGAATGTGTTTGTTAGACCTTACATGTATATATTCCAGAATATAAAATTTTTCAATATTTTGGAATACTCTGAGAATACAGTGTTGTTTACTGATTCCATAACATGCATTTTATAATATATATATATATGTTATTTGCCGGCCGGGAGGTCCGTATTGAGAAAAACTGTGCCTTGAGTACTCAAGACCTCTGGCACAGTTTTTCTCAATACGGACCGACCAAGGCCGGCAAATAACGTATTTATTTTTTTCCTACTTGGTTTGGTAATGCTAGAAATCTTGAAATCTTGTTTTGAAAAATCTGTTTTTCACGCGCGCGCGTATTCCTTTAGCTGATCGCAAGCTCGCTATAAAACTACCAAAGAAATAAAACTTAATCCAAATAACAAGAAACTCTGACGATTAATATTTTTACACCAGAATTACAGAAAGGTAAATGTGAAGAACAGACGATGGAGACGACCACGGAATTTCACCACAAAAAAGCTATTTCAAATTTTGCATAAAAGCCATTCAAAGTCCGGTGTAACCGGCAAAATTTTAGAACAATATTAATCTTCCATACTCTTGCGTAGTATCACGAAAGCATTTTCCGAGCAAAACTGTTTCCTCAGTTTTCTACAATTTCATTTCCATGTTAATCTAATTCTTGCCATTCGGTGGCCATTTACAATTTTCATTTTATGCGAAACCTTGACAAACTGTATTCATGCATTCAGTTTCAACGTACCGACACAACTCTGATTTATACGAGCCGAGAATTATTTTCTGGGCTACCGGTAATCACTAAGTTCTTTCTTGAATGAAAGTTAATGAAGGGCTGTTTCGGAAAAAAGAGAAACGAAAAGCAAATGGCTAAAACTAAGGAATTGAGTCTAAACACGGACATTTGTAATTTAAAATCGCAAGTCTAGAGAGCATGAAAGTGATTTTCAAAACAACAACAAAACTTAAATTATGTCGGTTAAAATCAAATGAACACTCGCCTTTTAGAAGAAATGCAAGCTCTTTAATTCCACTGTAGTTCTCCATTCACTTGACAACGATAAGAGAGCAATATAATGTGAACAATTCAGTAAAAGCTTCTTCGCATCGACCTTCGCACGTTGCTGAAATTAAAACGTTTTCGCTTGGGCAGCGCAGGCCTGGCGGCAAAGTCATTTGATATTTTGACCGTGGGCAAGATTGGAAAATCTTGCCCGCTCTCGGAACCAATCAGATTGCAGGATTCGAGAGTTCCGCCCGCTCGCGCTCTCAGAAAAAAAAAAATTACTGTTACACACTGTCATATTAAAAAAAAAATGATTTGTTAAACTTAAGTTTCAAATTATCAATTAAACATCTGATGAACTATTGATTTTTGTTTATTTTCTGCTTTGTGTATTATGTAGTTTCACTTGGAGCAGGCAAAGCTGCGTTCAAAACTTCGAATTCAGGATGGCAGAGGTATGAGAAATATATTATTCAGTCAGTGACACAAGCTACTCAGAAAAAGAATTCTGAGTTCCCCCAACAGGAGTCGGACCAATGACCTGCACACTGCTCGGATGCTTTACCACTGAGCTATAGGAGACTCGTAGGAACTCAGGCCATGTAACTACAGTCGAACCTCCACTAACGGCCACCTCTCTACAGCGGCCACCTCTCCACAACTGCCAGGATTTAGGTTCAAATGTGACAAACTTCTGGCCTATTGCAAGGATTATTAGTGGTTGAGTGCCCGACCAGTGTGCAGAAGGTCATAGGTTCAACTCCTGTTGGAAGAGCTTGGAATTCTTTATTTCCGAGTAGCTTAAGACGAAATCCATTAGAAAATCGAGTAATATTTATGGCCAGTGGACAAAAATCCTGTACTATGACGCCATAAGCTTTCACGCTTAAACTAGACATTCATAGGCCATATCTTAACGGTATTCACCAAATAATATAACTCCAAAATCCTTAAATTGCTTTCCGCCTTGAGTTTCCTCCAGTGAAATTGGAACTGAGTCATGAGAGATGGCAGCCATGTTTCAGAAACAATATGTCACTGACAGATTTATTTAATTTATTATCTCGTTCTCATTGTATACAATCATACATTACATTTTATTTTGTAACTTTGTTTTCAAAAGTGCAGTTATGTATTAGCTCCATTTGCTTCATGAAATCACTATGACATGAAACAAACAACAAGTGTTTATAGTCAGAATACCTTAAAATTCTGAATATAAGCCCTGTGCCCTGGACTTTTTTGTGAGCTTATTTTGGGGAGGACTTATTATTACCTTGGGGAGGGAAGGGGGCTTATAATTAATAGAAGGGATTCTGCATCTAAAAATGTTTATTTACATACAAGGAAAAAACAAGTTATACAGTCACTCATTTAATGGATGACACAAGTCTTTGAGCATTCTGTAATCAACAAAAAATACAAATTAGATATTAAGTTCCACAATATGGGGTTAATTTTTCGGAAGAAGATTATTATAATAATATTTCTGTAAGAGCTAAATATAGATCTACATGTAAGTCTATGGGCTTATATTCGGGGGGGGGGGGGGGGGGGGCTTGTTATCAGAAGGATTTTGGCATCTGAGATTTGGAGGACTTATTTTCTTGGGGGGGGGGGGGGGGGCTTATAATTTGGAATTTATGGTAGTTAGCATCTATAGCAAATTTATTGATCATAATTCTCATTGTTACTTGATCTGACTTATTTTCAGCTAAACCCATTGATCTGCTTGCTCAGTATGTCAGTTCTGATGATAACGACTTGGAAATTCAAATGCATGAACCATACACAATCTTAGTGGTAAGCAGTGTTAACGGCATGCAATGCTATGTTTATTAAGTTAATAAACATTAATGTACAGCTGGTGTAAGTACTGTATCGGTGAACATTTCCAGCAAACGGCTGATTTTGAAAATCGGCCACATTTAAAGTAAAATTTACAAAGTAGATTATTTTAATATTTACCATAAATACTTGTGTATAACTGGTAAGATTGATGGCTATGCTCAACATCTTGTCTCTGTTTAGATGATCACGTCATTGGATGGTGACATTAATCCATTGTCTTGGCCGAACTGCAGTTACAGAAATGCTGTAGATAAGCTGCACTCCCAATTTTAAGCAGAAAGATTTGGCTTAGACATTATTAATGTTACGGTGCTCATTTATTTATTTATTTTCTTTAGGGACTCACAATAGAAGACCTGGAAGACCTGCTAGCAGACATCAAGGTCTACATGGAGTTAGAAGAAGGGAAAAATGCTGAATTTTGGAAGGTACATTGATTTCATAATAACTAAAAGATACACCAAGCTAATTGAGAAAACTGGCTTAGCACAAACTGTGATGACTCTACATATTGCATACAGTACATGTACATCCAGGGCTGCAAATAACAGTCGGTCATTGGACAACGGCCGACCAAACTTCGCCAATGTCCAATGAAATCCCAACTGTGGTCGATCGGACACAATGTCTGGACAATTTTTTCTTGCCTTCAAACGCCAACGTGTTATATATAGCGCGTTTTGTTCTTTAGAAACGCAAACTACTGTAGTTGACAACGTGTTAGTCAAGATTAGCAGGTTCGCTTTATAAAGCAGTACTGTAATATGATGTCCGACCCTATTTTTGTTTTGTCCGACCAAAATGGTGACTTAGTCGGACAGATGTCCTTTCACCAAAAAAAATTATTTTCAGCCCTGTACATCTGTGGAAATAATTATTTAGTTTAAGTATTTTAATCATGGATCATTTTGTGCTGAAAATGAAATAGTTAGTTACAGTACCTTTTGCAGGCAATGGGTACATGCAAACTGACCAAAAATAAGCGTTTTGAATTGTTCTCCTTTCTGGTCATCAGATCTAAATGTCATGAGACTTACTTCCTTGATTTAATTTAATTTGGGTGATCAACGATATGAAATGTAATGAAAGAAAATGAGATCTTCACAGTTATATTTCAACTTAAAAGTAAGTAGTTGAAAAGAAGGCCTGAAAAAAAAAATCAGGCTCCAATGGTATTCGAACCCATAACCTTTGCGATTCAAGTGCAAACGCTCTACCATTGAGCTAGAAATGTGATCCTTGATGAGATGGCATTTTATTTCTATCCTTGCTGCTCTAATTTAATTTAGTCGTTTGTTCTTATGCGTAGCTTCTGTTATGATTCTTGTGTTAAAGTGGAATGATTTTCCTTTCCATTTCTTTCAAGAAAGAAAACAATTTCCATTTCAAACGTGATTAGTATAAATATAGCGGATTTATCTTAATTAAAATAAATTTTGACACTTGCTTGCAAAGTATTCGAATTTACTTTTCTTTATCAATGAAATAATTTCTTAATTATGCATTCTTACTCCTGCCCGCTCTGTGAAAGAGCTCCCATAACTGGAGAATTTGCTTACATGTATCATGGAAGTGTTAAGTTAGTGTGTATAATTTTGTAAATTTGTAAATTTTGTAAAGTTGTATTAAAATGCATACGTTGTTAATAATTCTTGCAGGATATGACAATTGTTTGTAAAGACGAGCTTCAAAAATTGAAAAAGGAAGATCCCAGATACAGTGGTAAGTTGAAATCACTTTTTTTTTTTTTCAAGAAATAAAGAGGTTAAAGTACCATAATTTATACTGTTAGAAATAGTCCCCTATTACATTGTGGAATATGGAACTCTCCCAGGCAAATAGTTGATTGCTCACCTCACCACTGACAAAGTGCAATATTTTGCTCAACTTAGCAAATGCAGACAACATACACAGGTCAGGATTGATATGATGTATAAGGCTTTTTGACATTCTTAGCATTGATTCTTATTGCAGATCAAATGGATCGGCGAGAGAGCATTAATGCATCCGTGAATCAAGATGTAGCAGGCATTTTTAATGCCAAAACATACAGTCAACTCATCGTATTGCAGAAACAGATCAACCAGAAGATTGCAAGTGGAGATGCAGTGGACATAGGTAACCATCTTTTTTAACACATTGACTACTAAACCGGCCATAAACGGCCAAGAAGAGACCACAGACTTGTACCACTTGTGACGTCATCACTTTTCATGCCAGAGGATGTCTTTGATAATCAATGGATAGAGTTGGAAAATGTCTAACATTCCTAGACGAGCACGAAACGTTAAATTGGACCAGAGATACACACCAACTTGGATTTTTTCCTCCAAAATCACCAAAAAACGCGACCTTCACTACCATTGACACTCTTTGTCAAAAAAATTCCCTTTTCCCAACGTTTAGGTTAAAACTTTTTCAACGTGAACAAAGGCAACTGAAAGGCCAACAAAACCACAAAATAAAATAAGAGAAAAAGGAGAGCAAGAACGGCAAAAAAAAAAAGGAAAAGAAAAGCGTAAAGTCAGGTGCACGTTTTTCAAACCCAAAAATGATGTCGAAATTTTGATTTCTGCACATGCCCAAGGAAAATATTGAATTTGTTGCTTCTACGTAGAAGGGGATGTTAGTTGCCGTGTTTTAAGTTTACTATTAAAGTTTTAGACAGTTTGACATTATTAAACTGTTGAGATAATGGCCAGAAATAGGCATCTGGGATGTTAGATTGCTGTTTTTTGGAAAAAGCCCAGTAGTCAATGGGTTAACATACTAATGTTAACATGACGTTGTTATTTGATGAAAATGTACAGGCATGGATCCAAGGCAAAATATGACCATTTCACAACTGTGCTCTTAGGGAGTCTGTGTGCATGGTCCCCAAAAAACCTTTTTGATTTAATTAATATATAAAAAGGTTTTAATTACAGTAGTTCCTGTGTTCTTGAGACTAACAATATATTGGTTTGTTCGATAGAAAACATTTTGTTGCATAACTTTTTGACTGTCGCATCTGCAATATCCTGCTACAAATTTGCGAGTTACATAATTGTACAATGTAACTCTTTAATTCTCAGGGGGGAAAAAATAAATAATTTTTATATTTATTTACTGATTTCCATAAAAACGTTGGAAACTGGTCTGGATCCATGTCTGATGTATCATTGGCAAATCTTAGAACGTGAGGAAAAGAAACTTATGTCCAAGATATTTTTAGTATGAGAAATCTTGCAAAAATGTGAGCAAATATTACATCTGTTTCATGCAGGTTATTGGGAAACATTACTGCATCAGCTAAGAGCATACATGGCTAAGGCCAGGTTGAGAGAATTTCACCAAGCTATGCTAAGAAAAAAACTGGATGATCTGAAGAAACAGGTAAGGTTTTAGCTTTACAGGCTAAGTGTTTGATATATTACATTTATTACATATTATGAAGACTCGCTCATTTGCGATATGGGATTAAAAACTCGTGAATAAAAACGATATCAAGCTCTTACCCTGTAATAATCTATATAACTTTATATCCATTAAACCAAAACCGCTCAAACTTCCAAGATAACATACATGTATTTTGCAGTGCTTGGTAATGTAATAGCATCAATATCCTTGAAAACCTTGCCAGACAAAAAATTGCTGGGTGGCCATTTTTGAAAGAGGTGTATGCTAATCAATTAACATGTAGATTTGGGTCCCATTTATATGTGCATGATCGACTTCATTATGACAATCATAAGCTAGTTTTAGGTTGATTTAGATGAATACTAGGCATGTTGTAATAATGTCACATACAACAGTTGTAAGTAAAAATTGTACTGTCTAATTCAGCCTGGTCGAGATGTATCTTCAGAGTATGAAATACATTCTTTGCACCCTCCAGAAATCAGAGATGGCTAGCCAATCAACAGATGAAATTGTTGAATCAGAAGCTGAATCAGAGCCGGAGATAAAGGAAGACAAATCAGAGACTAGTGAAGGGCCTTCTATCTCACATGAAAATCCACCTCATGACGATGAAACAAAAGAAACTGAAGAACAGGATCAAATCCAACCGATGAAGAAGGGGAGAAAGAAGCTAGTGTTTACACAGAACAGGATCTTACAGAAGAAGGTAGAAACACATTCAATTCTCCTAACTGATTACCCAATAAATTCTCAAAACTAAGGTGAATTTTATTTTAAATTTGTTGGTAGATCAAGACAATATATGTACAGTGTACCCAAGCTACATGTAGTTAACCCATTTACTCCTAAACCGGCCAAAACCGGCAAGAGGAGACCACGGACTTGTACCACTTGTGACATCATCACTTTTCAAGCCAGGAGATGTTTTTGATATTTAGCTGATATAGAGTAGGAAAATGTCTAGTATAGTAACAAAGCATGCAGGCTAAACAAGCTTGAAACAATGAATTGGGCCAGAGATATCGATGTACAGACAAAAAAACTTGGAATTTTTCCTCCAAAATTAAAGAAAAATGTGAGCTTCCCTACCATTGACACTCGTTTTTAAAAAAAGTTCACTTTTTAACCCAACATTTATTGGAAACTTTTCCAACGCAAACAAAGGCGACTGAAAGGCCAACAAAATCACAAAAGAAAGCCAGAGAAAAAGGAGAGCAAGAACGTCCAAAACAATTTGATTTCTGCACATTTCCAATGAAAATATTGAACTAATTGTTTTGAATTAGGAGGGGATGTTAGTTGCCATGTTGCACACTAGGTTTTAGACAGTTGGGCTGTAAATTGTCAAGATAACGTTCGGCCAGATATAGGCATCTGGGATGTGAGATTGCCGTTTTTTTGAAAAATGCCCAGGAGTCAATGGGTCAATGGCTTTATTCTTGCCACCGATGTATTGATAATTTTTTATTATAAGGATAACTTATTTGTTGATTACTCTTAGCAAGTACCAAAGGCCAAATATATATTCAATCAAGTAGCATTTAATACGTTGTAAAAGAGTCAATTACTGTAGGATCCAGGAGCCAGTTGTTCAAAGGATGGATAACACTATCCACCAGATAAGTCACTATCCAGTGGATAGAGTAGTGTTGCTTTTGTCAAGACATAGCCACTGGATAGTGATTTTTCACCCTTTGAACAACCTGGGCCTGAACTTAAATAGCAGCCAGGCAAAACCATGTTCACAGTCTGGCAACTTGCCTAGTGTCAGCCTCTAAAGAAACCCAGGCCTGTGTTTTACCATGTCCTGTTCGTGTTAATTTAGTGTGTGTGATTCTGTGTTATCTTTAGGTTATGCATCATATGACGCAGGAAATTACAGTCCCAGAATGTTGAAGTTTAATGACGTTGAAGAGGTTGTTGAATGACACTTTTTATACTGTCTTGTAAATTAAGTAAGATTTAACGGTCGTAGAAAATATTTTAAATATATCTATACAGTTTTCACTCTTTTGCATCTCTTTGTAGATTGTGATTACAGTTAACTATTTTGGTTCAAGTTTACTTCTTGGTAGAATTTCTAAAAACAACTATCTCCAGGAATGGATATTCTATTTTGCCCTTCACCCTGGAAAGAAATTAACTACTGTTTACTTATAGCCAAACAATACATCTACATGTATGTTGCAGCAAAGAATGAAGACCCTTATTGCTTTAACGGTTATCACATATTTTTGAAATAATATATTGAGTTTGGAATAGACAAAATCAAATTCAAGGCGTGTTATTCTTTACAGCACTCTTTATTAATTAATTTTTATTGTGTGTTATTTAATATGATATAATAATAATAATTAAATGTATTTTTATTATGTATTTTTTTGTGACTATTTTTTCGGTGGCTTCTGTTCACCTTCATCAGAGTGGAGAAAGTTCATCATTGGTGCACCAACAAACTTTCTCCGCTCTGATGACGATCAGCTTACAAACAGATCAGCTTAAAAATCCTATTAAAAATGTCTACTACCGATCGCAATACTGGTTCTAGTATTTTCAGTAGCATTAATAATTATTACTTTTATTATAAATAAATGCACTTATATAAAGTTTTAAATCATTCTTTGTAGGGTATGGTTGTTGATCCAACCGAGGACTGGGACCAGCTTGTGAGTATCTTTGAAATAATATTTGTTTTTATTTTTATCCTAAAGCACAATTTTAATTATTATAATATTATAATAAATTAAATTTTTACATAAGTCTCTCATGATGCCGATTCTCAAATTCTCCGATTCTCGAATACCCTGCCCCAGCATGGTATTCTCGAGTATGCTGCC